ATACTGTTTTCCATAGTGGCTGCACCAGTTTGCACTCCCACCAGCAGTGTATGAGAGTTCCCTTCTCTCCACATCCTCTCCAACACATGTTGTTTCCTATCTTGTTAATTATAGCCATTCTGACTGGCATGAGGTGATATCTCATTGTAGTTTGGATTTGCATTTCCTGAGAGTTAATGATGTTGAATATCTTTTCAGTATTGAAAGGAAACAATCACCTGGCAGCCCTGGGGGTGTGCAGGGGGAGGAGTAGAGAGTGAAAGAGAGGTAAGGGGGGTCGGCCTGCAGTTGTTTCAATTTCTCACCCAACAGCACTTCTGTGCTGGTCTGCTATTACCTGGAGGACTCCCCCACAAGTGGCTTCTGGGTTGCTACCATTTCAATTGGGAAGAGTCGGGCAATGCTTGCCCCAAGGCAACGTGGGAGAGAGGTGAGAGCAGAGCCTAAAATTCTTTCATCCCCCTAAAGTCTCAGCGTTTCCTCTCGCCACTCACCTGCGACACACCCACAGACTAAGGCAGTCTTCACGTGCCCCAGGGTTTTTATTCTTGTTTTGCTACCTAGAACCCGTGGTTCCTCCAGCTACTTTGGTCCCTCCAGGACAGACTTTGTGGGCGAGAGCCAGCAGCCTCTGGGCCCACCGTCTTGGTAGAAATGGCAGCTGAATGAGAGAGAGAGTAGTGTTTGCAGAGAACCACCTTGAGAGCGTCTCCTTGAGTGGGTTCAACTCCTAGCTCGCCGTGTGCTAGCTGTGTCTCCTCGAGCAAGTTACATCGCTGCTGTCCTGTGCCTCAGTTTCCCTCCCTTGTTGATTATTTAATAACGCTTGTCAAGCAGTTAGAACAGAATCCGGCACAGGGCAAGTGCTTCTTACCCGTGAGCTCCGAATAACACAGCACTGCAGGGTCCCCCACCCTCAGGAAGGATTTGCTGAGACCCCCTACTTCCTGCTCCCTGCAGTGGCGGTCCAGCTAATTAGGCCCCGGCGAGGACCCGCCCCGTGTCGCGGCGGGGCCAGCCCGGGGCCTCCGCGCTGCAGTCTGCGAAACAGGCGTCCGGGGAGCGGCCGCCGCGCGGGTGGGCGAGGCCGGCGGGCGGGGAGGCG